CACAGACAACCTCTCGTCAATATGCGTTTTTTGCATTGCATTAGTGCAAAAAACGCATAAAAAGTAATCTGAATTGGAATATTCCGGTCCATACACCTTGAAATCTACTGGCACCTCAACATTTGTCCCCCTTTCCCTTCTCCATCTACTAGATAATTTTTTAATTCGCATCCATAAAGTAATGTGAGTTTCCCAGCACTCTCTTCTCGTTATAATTATCCTGCAATCGTCACTCAACGACAACTCAAGGATGCAATTTCAGTAAATTTCTTAAAATTTGACTATATTTTGCCACAAGGTCGGTACATCGGTACTGCTGCATCCCGTATATACCGGGATTTGTTTTATTTCATGATCACTGCTGGTTATTTCGGTAAAATAAGTAAAAATATTTGACGAAAACAAGCTGTACATCTATCATCTCAAAAAACACAATGATACAGTAATAATTCCAAATAAAATAGAATAATTCAATAAATACAATAATAATAATTTCAAATAAATGCATTCAATAAATGCAAAAAAATATACGCTAAGATAATGCGAGAAGAATTATCGTTCGTTTTTATCGCTATTTCTCTTCGTATGACCGTCAGAAATCCTAAGCACATCCAAAAAAGCCCAGCCTATTTTATCCAATAAATTATAACCTCGAAAACTTACCAAATTCTGAGGAAAAATCAGACATACTAAAAATTCTCGCTCAAAATTAAAGTACAAGGGAAGCTTAAAATTGATCCGAACCCACAGCACTTGCTAGCTAGCTAAGACATGAACCCGAAAGTACACAAAAATCTCATTAAAAAAAAATTATGATAAGCACCGGAAGTACAAGGACAAACTGAGGAATTCCAAAATTAAAAGAAAAAAAAATAAAACATATCAATAATGTACAATATTTTTCACATGCATTCTTCGGTTGCCAGCGTTGTCGGCAATCAATCGCGCATTAGTGAGTGGCATTTGCAAGAAAGGAAACAATCACTTGGGCGGGCCCCGAAGAAGAAGCTCACATACATCAAGCAGGCAGTGGGTACTAACTGAAGGTATGCAGACCAGGATCGAATAAAAACGACCAAGCATAGCTGCGCCTGTGACATGTGGAAGCACCGGCAGCACATCACTAACATGGGATACCCACACTAACAGCCTAAGTGATAGTAGTTTTTGGTTCATTTCTATGTCAAAATACCAAAACAGGATGCGTGTATGTGTGTGCGTGTATGTATGTGTGTGTGTTTGTGTGTGTGTGTGTGTGTGTGTACTGCTTGTATATTAGCTTTCATTACTTTCGATGCGACTTTTTGGGCGCATTTCTCTTAAAATGCATACAACTGTTTCGAAGCACTTCTTGAACTCATAATCGGTCATTCCAAGAGTAAAGTGTCGTTCCCTTTTAAAATAATTCAAACCGCGTCCAATCCGATAGGTCCAACCATTGTCAAACCTGAAATTTAAGGGGCTCAATTTGGTGGCTAATAAGTACCACGCTATTTCTGAAACAGGAAAAAGATAAGATCAGTGACGATGCTATTAACTTATGTAGACAAACATGCGAATAAGCAGTTCATGTTTCATCCCTTAGCTGTAAACAGTAATGGGTGTGAGTAGGAGTGGGAATCATCAGTACAGCTTTCTAACTGTGTTATAAAGAAAAATCTTATATACTGGCGAAGATATGCTGAAAAAGGCGTTAAAAAAATGAATGCTTTATTACAGACCATTGATGTAGCTAATCAACAGCAAAACTCTTCCACTATTTCAATCTCTATGACACACTTTTACTGATCCTAAATGAGAATTCTCACTGCAACGTAGAAATGGCAAAATACAGGGCAGTTTTCTGGAATGGTGGGCTACAAAGTCCGGCAGCTCACGGCCAGGCATTGCGCTGCATTTTGTTTGCTTAAGCTTGGGCAGTGCAAACCAACGTCTGCTGAACAGCGATTGATTCCTTCGTCCCCCTTGCTTGCACCCCTTTTCCCCGCCGAATCTCCACATATAAAAGGCGCACCTAATTTCTCGATCATGCATGGAATTACTGCATTTGATGGTAAGCACGATATGCCGCGTTATCAGATCATTGCGCAGCTGATTCAGTTTTTCTTGGAGGCAATCATTTTGTGTACAGAGCACTATACGACGAAGATTCTTGGCACGCGTAACCAACATCTCACAGAATGTTACAAAATTCTTTATCTGTAAAATTCAGATTGCAAATCCACGTAACACTGTTTGCATAAAATAGTAGAATAAAGGAACTGGCCTTAAATGTAATGTGTAAGAAGACATTTTACGCGATGCATTCTCTGTGTTTCATCCCTTAGCTGTAAAAGTGAAGTAACGTGTTATTGTGTGCCCAGAGAAACAGTACATTTGAAATTCCAGTATGTGCAATGGGAAGTAACACTACTGTTGCGCAATAGGTCGAAGATTTGAGCCTGTTTTCCCTTCTGTAAGTCTAACTTCCCCTCTCTCTCTCCCCTCACTCCCTCAATATTCTCCCGTGAAAGACACTAATGTGTGATGCGCATCGACTGTCGGTAAAAAAAATAATGTTGAAATTCGTGAATATTCAGAATAAAACAGTTAAAAAAAGTGCCCAGGAAGTGAAAAATAAACCTGTTCATGAACCCGCATGTATGGTTCATCGACAACAACAGTTTCCAGTTGATCATCAATGCCGTCCACGAAAATTTTATTATAACTAAAACCCGTATCGCCATCGTTTATTCGCAGCTCTTTCACCAATTTTAGGTCGAATTGTCTCTGCCCAATGAGATCATCCGATGCTTCAGCTTCCGCAAATAAAACACCCAAATTAAAAGCGCCTAAAAATTACCAGGAAAGTTTCCGGCAGCTTCCTTCATGCAGGCAAGCTTGACGTAATGGCAACATTAGATCAATGAGGATGGAACTTATGCCCCACTCTGTGTTTCGTCCCTTAGCTGTAAACATAAAGTAATGGTGCGCGTAGTCAAATTCTCAATGTTTAGCAAATCTCAAACCAAAACATTATAAATGGCAACGCGCACCAGGCTAGCCGGTGCGATCATGCGTTTTGTGCAATTCAGCCCATC